AATCGTACTTTACTAATGTTAGTGACAAAATATGAGAAACCAAAGGAGAGATTGTTATCCCATTTTGTTGCGCTCGAGTCCATGCTTCGAATGCAAAAATGATTGGGTTGATTTGATAGAATGAAATCACTTATATTGTTCATGTTGTTAGGATATCACCATATATAAATGTGTGGTGATGCATTATTTGAGATGTATATGCATATGATGTATGTTGTGGCGTATTCATATGCATTGTTGAATGTCTTGTTGACATGGTTGGATAAGATATATGTTAGCTTTTGAATGTTTAGCTTTCATATATATTTTTGGTATATGACGTAAAGTTGTTTTCTATACTTACATGTTTTCAAACAATAGTTTACCCTTTTATTTTCATGTGATTTAGACTGCAATGGACTTACATTATATATGAGCAGATTAAGACTAGGTTGGAGTAGCAGTTGTAGGTAGATGAAGGGACCTTTTTGTTGGTGTCGAAACTACTTTATGTAACTTGTATAAGTGTGCTCGACCAACACTAGGTTCTACAGTTTACCTTCAGATTATTGCATATACTTGTATATGATTTATACCAGTACAATGTTTACACTTTTATATTTATATTATATGTATGTCCATATATCTGTTAGTTGAACTTTTATAATTCTAGTAGACTAGTTTTCGCTGCTAATAGTGATTTCACATAGTACAATGACCATGGCGGGTCGTTACAATATTTGTTGTTGTTTTAGAACCTTGAGGTCAAGGGGACCCTGAGAGTTAAATTGTCTATGAGATAGTTTCAAAATAAGTTAAGTTTGTTCAACTTAAGGAAGGATATATAAGGATTTTCTTAAAACATGAACCTTATAAGTTCATATTTTAAGAAAAACTATAGAGAAGTTCTCTAGAGCCAAACTTTTTTCTTCCTTTTTTTTTTTTCTTATTGAGACATGTTTTCAATTCTTCCCTACAATTGATCCAAGGTGACTAGCTAAGAGATCCAAGCTTGTGGAGTATAAAAGATCTCAAGTCAGAGGTCATGTTGAGTTTTGTTCTTCTCTTTTTCGTCTTCTCAGTTGAATTGATTAGAGGTGAGGTAAACTTTGTAATTTGAATGATTTGATGTTGAATGCTTATTGTTGTGGTTTGAATTCATCATTTACATGATTGAATTGGTGAAGATTATGAATCAAATGTGTTATAGAAATTGCTCTTGAAATGATGTTCTTAGGTCACTTTAGAATTCTAAATTTGATGGTTGCATGGATTGTTTTGGATTGACTTGGTATTGTTCAAGGTACATAAAGTTGTATGTTGGTTATCATGTTGCGTGGGATGTTTGGATTTGTAGGTTTGAGCTAAATGAAGGTTTTGTTAAGTGCAAAATTCTTCATTACGTTAGGTGTGCCTTTAGAGTGTTAGACGTGGCTCAAGTCAAGGGTATTCTGTTTCACTTGTGCTAGGTGCAGGATTGGTAGCATTGAATGTAAGGAAACAGAATCATCTTTATCTAAATTGACGTCAAGCGCCTGTGGAGTGACATCGGGTGTGAGTCAAGTAGAGACCCTTCTCTTGATTGAGGTCGAATGTGAATTTTGTCACAACAAGTGTTAGAGATTGAGAGACTCTCTACCTCATCCTCATTGGACATGAGAGCATTGGTGCTAGTCATGGGCAAGATAGGAAAGTTCTCGTCTTAATAGGACCAAGCGCATTGTAAATGGTGTTAGGTGTGAGTTGTGTGATAAAAATGTGATGTTTTAAATTATTTAACAATTGAAGAGTGGTGATTGAATTATGTGATGAGTGTTATATGGTGATAACTCATTATACAGTAAGTTGATATAATGCGTAGTGATGTTTATGTTGTCAAGTTTTTAAGCAAATGGATGATTAAGTTACAAAGTTGTATGATGCTATAGTTGAATAAGTTGTTAAGCATGTTGATGGAATCTACCAAAGGTTGCACTTGGAAGAATTCAAAAAATAAAGAAGATGCATTAATTTGCATGACAAAGCCTATGGAGATATATCATCTAGTATTATTTTCTACATGTTGATGAAGACTTGAGTCTAATTTGAAGATAATACGATGAGTCCAAATTCACATGATCAAGAAAAAGAAGCATTGATGGGTTAAAGTTTAATTAGTTTTGGGGGTAAATAGTTGCCTAAGCCTAATTTTTTAACTATTAATGTAATTTTTGTATTTCTTTATATTTAGATAATTCTTATGTTTTTTTTATATGTACATAGTTTATATATTTTTTCATATTGTCTAGGTCAATTTTTAGTGTTTTTAAGCTTCCTGAACCATAATGTTAGTGGGATATTGAGGAGTTAATTCTAGTAAAAAATAAGCGTTAGTGAGAATTTATTTCTTAGTGGAGCCTTAGTGAAAATTTACTACTTGTTGCCTATCTAAGCCTCTAAATAAAAACCTCTCGTAAGATTCCAAGGTAGAGAATTGGATTAATCATAATTTGTATCTTTTTGCAAGAAAAAAACATAAAAGACTTAGTGTTGCAAGCTAATATCGTGATAAACTCATACCTAAGTTATTGTACATTGACAAGAATATTAGACATTCTAGTTTAAGTGGTGAAACCTAAGAAATCAATTTAAGTTGTATACATGACACTTCATGAGGCCTAATACTATCTATAATTGATCCAATTATGATATGTAAGATGACGTAATTCGGTAAGATCAAACCACTTAAATTGTTCACCTCTATTATAAGAGATTTTTATAATTGATATGCGCAACGATGCATTAGTTGCTTATTGATGGTGATGTTTAAAATGTTGATATGATGAGGTTGTTAAGATGTGTTGTTGAAAGTTGTAGGTGTTATAGTTGATGATAGCTGAAGTTGTGATTATAAGTTAGTTGTTACTTAATTTGCTTATGTTGACAATTTATAATATTATGTGTGACTGAACTATGATAAATGTAATAATTTGTCGAATCATTATAAATTTTAATAAATATTTCAAATTTAGTAAGTTTATTTCATAAATTTTAACTGAAAATTTAACTTTCAATCAAATAATCAACTATATTTTTGTCAAACATAGCTTGATCATATACATGAGAACTGGAAGTAGTATTTTTTTCCTATGTTCAACAAACATCAAAAATAATATAAACTCATTAAAGGCATCTCATCTTATACCCGGTTCTGTTTATTCGATAACATTTGTATAGATTTTCTTTTTTGATTAAGAAAACATGCATAGATTTTCATTCCTTATAAACTTCTGTGTAAACTATTAAATAATATACCAATCTTACTGTTACTTTTTTTTTTTAAATGATTCGGATATATTTATATCATAATTAATGAGAACTTATAAATTAAAGATAAATTTTGCTTAACTGTCGCAATTTTAAAAATTACCAATCAAAACCAGTTGAATATAATTTCCTTTTAGACCTAGTATACTGCAACAAAACTAGATATTAATTGAACCTAAAAAAATTAGGACATACCATATTGCTTATGCCGCAATCTCTTTTGAAACTTTGTATCATACCCTACTAATTTCTGAATTTTGAAATATATTAATATTTCCTCCCATAATATCTGAAAAAAAGAAAAAAAGAATTAAGATAACCTTTGAATACTTAATCCAAAAAATGTGATCATTGTGATTTTTGATTAAAGAACCTTTTCTAGAAATGGGACCTACCACAAGTAGAGAGTTGAGTTATAGAATCAAACTCATAAAGTAAGGTGATAAACAAATGCGCAATATTTGACTGCTTGGATAAAGAACTGTAGTTGTTGGTTGAACAATGTTAACCAAAGCAAAGCAACATGAATAATCAAAGGGGGCCACAGGCCACTCATGTTGTTTGATGGGAAAACAATAAAAAAAAAATGGAAAATACTGTTTGTGCTCACAAAGCAATCAGCACTATGGATCAAATATTGAAGACCACGTAGATAATCTTTGAATTGGAGCAATCTAAGTCAATCTATAATATTTTCGAATATTAATTTACGAGGTCGGCTATACTATATTGCACTTGATTTTGGTAACTGGGTTTTGAGGAAAGGAAGAAGAAATTTTTTAGACAATGTTAGGCATTAGCAGACTTTGACGATGAATCAATGTTTTGAAATTGGGTTAGTATTAAATCGGTAGTCTCTGGTTTGAGATTCAATTTTATCGCAATTGAATCGTGATTGAACTGATAATAATTAAATAATATATTTTTATTAAATTGTAATATAACATATAATAATCAATATAATATTTATTTCAGAACATCAAAAATAAATATTAAACATTAATTATTAAGTATGTATTAGTAAAAAGTTAGCTTAAAGAGGCTATTGCATATTTCCACATGATTTTCGTTGATTTTTTTTTTTGCTTGTTTTTTCTCATTGACTTTAAGGAGAAACGTTAATCTCACATTGCTGCCATAAACATATAATTGGCTTCATCACATTGAAAACAAAAGTCTCACATTAACTATGCAATTGTGTTGCATTGTAACCTTGAATATAATGTTTTTGCTCAAAATATTGAGACTAGTACAAGTCTCACATCAGTGAGTGCAAGTGTAATATTCTGTTATCTTCAATTAAGAACAATCTGATTTACCAAATTCAATGAAAATAACAGTCTTATTTATATAATTTCATTTTATAGCATTGTTAGCAATAGTCCCACATCGGTGTAGCATTAAGCTTGACAAGGTGATTGTTTCTAGTTATATAAGACGCCTTCAATTGACAAAATATTCAGTTCTCCCGTAACTTTGGTTGTTAAAATTTTTAATCCATTATGAGACATTTGGTTCACTTGTCTTACAGCTTCAGTTTTACATCTCTTGTGTGGACCGGTTCTCATCCATTGAGGTCTATGGTTCACTTGTTTTTTACTCTCAGTTTTACTTCTTTATGGACCAGTGATAAGATTATCAGTGATGTTTTGGGCCGGTAGGTAGCGGTTAATTAATTAAGATTGTTTTAAATGAATGAAATCAATAATCATAAAAAAAATTATAACAAAAAAAAAAATAATTTTTTCTGGTCTTGGAACTTGATAGAATGGGTCCCCTACACATATAAGAGCCAAAAGTCTGTTCACTGAGTGAAGAAAAGTGATGGCTTCTAATTCTATCTCCCAAACGGCTTCAATGGCCACAGAAATCTGCACCCAAATAGCTTCCATATTCTCAAAGCCCACCCATCCATACCCAGACCCATTAAACATCTTGGTGACCGAGCTCTCCTCTGTTGCTTCTCGAAAAGGCCGAGTTTTCCTTTACGGTGTTGGGCGTGAGGGCCTGATGCTCAAGGCACTCTGCATGCGCCTCTTTCACCTGGGCCTCTCGGCCCACCTCGTCTTCGACATGACAACTCCTCCCATTGCTGCCAATGACCTCTTGATCGCCTCTGCAGGTCCTGGTGGCTTCTCGACCGTGGATGCCCTCTGTGCAGTGGCCCGTTCCCACGGAGGAAGGGTGCTGCTCCTGACAGCCCAGCCCGTGACAGGGTCGTGTGTGAAGTATGCTGATGCTGTGGCTTACGTGGCAGCACAGACTATGGCCGATGATAAGGACGCAGAAGGGGATGTGAAATCTCGACCGCTACTTCCCATGGGAAGTGTGTATGAAGGAGCTTTATTTGTTTTATTTGAGATGGTGGTTTACAAGTTGGGTGAGACCTTGGGTGAGAGTTCTGATGCTGTTCGATCTCGCCACACTAATCTTGAATGAAATGATTATCAATTTGCTATGAGTTATATAATGAGAATAGGATGGTTATATCTTCCAGAAAAATGATCTTTATTTATACAAAATTTGTATGTGAAAAATTCTACAGATATAACTTTAAAATTATGTGAAATATGATTGTGCTAAGTGTTAGGCTAAAATATTGTTCTATGTTTGTTTTTATTGATTACTATTTCAAGGTACAATAGTACTTTTTTTTTTCAATGAAAGAATTTACATACAGGATCGGGTCGATGAATTCTATTACATAACAACTGTGAATAATAAAATGTCATATTTTTTTTAGTAAATAAATTGTATTTTATCAACGATGACTAACATAAATGATAAATAACTAATTTTATTTATTTATTTTATAATATTATAAAGGACTTAATTCTTAATTATGTATAAGAAGAAAGTTGTACTAAAAGGATAAAGTTTACTTTATTGATCTATATGTTTTAAAAAAAAGTTATCTTTTTTATTAATCTTAAAATATCTTTAGTACAAACTTAAAAAAAAAAGACTGCACGTAAAGTTGATTTCATTCAATAAATTTTTCATATATTTAAAAGATAGTGTTATTTACGTGTGTGATTTACTTACAATTATTTATTTTTATCAATTTTATTTAAAATAAATAAAATATTTTTCTTTGAATAATCTTATGTGAGGTCAATAAATGTCATATTATATAGATATAAAATATTTTTATTAGGATGTTTAAGTTGGTAAAATATTATTTTTCAGACAAAAAAGTGAACTAAAATGCAATTTTTTTTATTTATATTTATTTATCAATAAATAAAGTTCATTTGCAATGGTAGTTGTAGAGATAAGTTTTCAACTGAGTGTAATAAAATCAAAATTAGATTTTATGATTTTCATAAGAGTTGTAACTTTGAATATTAACTTTTAATAGTATTGAAATCATCTTAAAAAGAGGTATAAAACTTAAGTTATGATCAAATTAGTGAATAGATGTCAAGTTGTTAGATTTAGACTTATACTCAAATGTTGTAATTTTGTAATTTTTAAGTATAATAAATGGTAAAATTATTTTTTAAGGTTAACATAGAAATTGTAGATACTTATCCTAACTTTGTAACAAAAATAAGATCAACTTAATATCATGAGTATAACTCTAGATGTGGTGTGTAGACCACTCAATGTCATTGAAGCTTGAGAAAAAAAGAGATAATTTGATTTGTAATAATGTGTTGTTTTATTCCTTAAATACTTAATCTTGATAACGGTTTGAAATACTTATATCAATAATTAATAAATAAAAAGTATAAGGGAAATATGTGAATGAGTTATGAGTATGATGAAGATGTGAAATTATGATTGTAAGATCTTGCGCTTATATGAGATATGAGATGCTTCTACTAGATGTTCACGATGTGAAATGTTGATGTTTGACTTGAGAATGGTGTGTGTAAAGTTTGAGTGAATGATGAGATGAGATGATGATAATGTGTGACATGAAAAATGAAATGTTGATGATATGATATGTGAATGACATGAGTATGTGATGAGTCCATGAGGGTAAGTGTTGCCTAGAGTCTTGTATGTGTAATATGAATCATGCGCATAAAATGTTTTACAGTTGTAAATGTGTATTGGTCGTTAGGCAACTGCACATGAGTATTATTAACCTTTAGACTACTATACCTGAGTTTGTATCCATTGCATCAAGTATATGAGTTGTGAATATAATGTATCACACTTTCTTATTGTGTGTTAGCTATTTTTGTTATTGTTTCAATCTCCATATTAGTTAGTCTAATTTTCCTATTTTGTGTTAGCTGATTTTGTTTTTGTTTGGGAGTTAGAGTGAGATGTTTTAGATATGTTGGTTGTTTTTGTTATTGTTTGGGAGCTAGAGTGAGATGTTTGAGATACATTGGTTGTTTTTGTCATTGTTTGGGAGTTAGGGTGAGCTGTTTGATATATTGTCTATTTTAATGCTCATTGGGTCATGGTATTTATAAACTACTCTTAATCTTAATTCTTAAGCGATATGAGACTTTTAGGTATACTAGAACAATTATGAACTTTGTAGGTGAGGGTCATGATGATAGTGACAAGACCTAATGCCTTAATTATGGTTATGATATACTTTGATATAGGAAAGGAGCATCGAGAGATTTGAAGTTTATAGTTTATATTTTTATGTTTTCTTTTAAAGTCTTATATTAGAACTAAGTTATGTTGATTAGGAACCTTTTATTAATTCTTTTGCAATTTTGTATGGTTTTGGATGTTAGATTTTTTTTTGTTCTTTATTCATGTTTTTCTTTCTTTCTAAGTTAAATCTTTATATAATGTGTGTGTGACATGATATAGTTAAATATCAACTATAAGAAAATTATTGACTTACATATATTTTTAATTTCTCAAATTTAAGATAAATTTTTTTAGTCCCTAATATTTAAAACCAATCATTTAAGTCTTTATAATTTTAAAAAAATATTTTTAATTTTTATACTCAAATTTTGTTAAAAACTTGGTCATATATTATCGTATAAAATCTATTTCTTGATATCCTCTTAGTAAAAATATCACATTAAACTCCACTAATGGTATACAACTCTTTTAATTCATCACTTTAAGATATATTATTGGTGACTTGAGATACTAAAATAACATTTTTAAAAATTACAAGAACTAAAAATAATAATTTTAAATTTAAGAAACCAAAAATAAATTTATCCTAAATTTAAAGAATTAAGATTATATTTAAGTTAAAATTATTCTTTTCCTTTTGCTCAACTTTCAGATGTGATTAAGTAGATAATAAAAATTATGCATAAATAAAAATAACTTTAATGTTATTCAATGCATGAAAATATAATTAAACATTATAATTGCAAAAATTTAAATTTTTTTATAATTATTTATACAATAATTGAATATATATATATATATATATGTGTATAATGTAATTTATATATTTTAAGAATAAGTTTAGTTAAATTTACTTCATTCATTCAATAGTTTAAAATCTTTAACAAATTTTAACAATCTAGTTGTTAAATTAAAATTTTTTTAATGTTAATTCGTTTATAAATTAATAAAAATTATTTATTATTTTACTTTATTAATTTAAATAAATATAAAATATTTAAATATTTTTATAATTATCTATTAATTTAAATTAATAAAATAAAATATTAAGAAATATTTTTTGCAAATTTGATCTTTTCTTTTAAAAAAATCACTTTTTTGATAATTAGATCATTAAAATTTTATTATATCAAATTATAATGATATTATTATTAAATAAATATTCTTAATTTGTAAATTAAATATTCTATTTTCTTTAAATTTAAAAATTAGCCGTGTCAATAATCATATTATGTATAATTATAAATATTTTATATATCAACATTAAACTTTCAAATTAATAAATAATTATAAAAATTTAATACATTAATTTGAATTTGTTAAATTTTATATAACAAACAATGGTACATGCCATTAAAAATATGCCAATTATTGTATATCAAATAATTGTATTTTATATAAAATAAAGGCTTTATATTAAGTATTTATATTAAAATAATAGATACATAAATAAAATTAATTTTGTAATAATTAATTTATATTATGTATTAATAAAATAAAATAATAGATACAAACTAAAAAATAATTTTTATAATAACTGAAGGGTCGGCTAGGCGAGCCAACCCTATTGAGTCCCAGAAATTATGTCAGCCATATGTCTTGATAGCCATACAGCATCCATCAATCGAGGATGGACGTGGCATATTTAGCCAACTGACCCTTTTTAAGTTGTAACATGTGCTCACCATCTGTATTTATAAACACTATTTCCTATTCCTTTTGCTCAACTTTCCGATGTGGGATGTGATCTGTTACTATTGTACGTGTACATACTTTTCACTGTGGGATAGCTTGTCAGTTTACCTTTATTTTAAGGATTGATATGAAGTATCTATACAAATATCACTCATTTCCATTCATCTAGATTTCAATAAGATTTTGAATGGACAAATATCAAAATCTAAATTTTAAACTCTTTAAATTCATTTGATTTAGATTTCAAATAATTGTTTAAACAGCAAAGAACTTTTAATATGCAATTGTAACCCATGTAGTGAGCACCCAACTATCTTATTTCAAACATCTTTTTTATTATTTTTTTCTGTTTTCGTTGTAGTGTCTCATCAGCTTCTTAAGAATTCATATAACACATGGCTTGAGCTTGAAGATAATATGAATCCTTGTACTTTTTGTTACTTCCAACATGGATCCCATTATGAATCCAATCTTCTCGATTTATCCATGCGTCCCTACCTATATCGAGTACGCCAAGAATCTGCGAAAACATAGTGTCTGAGGTTTAGGATTTCAAATCAAAATATCTGGACAACTAACTACACTATGGCATAACAAATGCAAAACTTCCTCCCATCAGTTTAACATTTTAATTAAAATCTGATAAAAAAGAATATAGCAACCATCCCAGTCCAAGTACTAGCTTATGCACAATAATATGTTTTTGCAATCAACAAATTGACAATTGATTTAAAGTAACATTGCAATATTACAGTGGACTCAACTGTGAAACTTGTCTATTATAATTTCAACATTAAAGGCCTACATCCCAGAAATGAAAATCAACTAGAGTAGTGGACAATAAGTCTAAAATTGATTGATAATTTTATTTTAAAATTATTGATAATTTACACGTATAATATAAAGCAATAAATAACTATCAAAACATGTTATCTGCCGGGCTTTACCAAACTTGTCTTGATTCTTTCTCAACCTTAAATTCATGAATTTTATGAGTTTGAAAGTTCAAGAATAATTAATAAGAATAAGATTATTATTTTCCTAAAATTTAAGACATCATATTTTCTACCTAAGTTCATGAAAGAAGAGTCAATATTATCAAGCATCTAATAATATTAACAGATTTCTCAATCAGAATTAAAAAATTTAAGTGACAGAAACTATTTAATAGCCACCATACCGCTCCGCCTTTCCAAGACACAGACGTTGGATTTGTCCTTGATTGTAGAACCTTAATAGAGCCATGTACAAAAAGTATCACATAAAATCATGGACAAATGTAATTAACAAGAAAAAAAGAGAGTTAAAAGCTATTACTTTCACGTAAATATGCGCAAAAGATTTATTAGTATAATTTTATGGTTTGACCTTGGTTGAATAGTAGCCAAATCATGATAATTAAATGTCTATTTTTAATAGACCAAATTATATTTTTGATTTTTAATTTATTTTTAAATTCATTTTGGTCTTTTTTATTTTAAAAGGATTATTTTAATTTTTTATCTCCTAAATTTGGATTGATTTGATTCTTTTGAAACACCTATTATTTAGTTTTTCAGACATGATTTTAAATATTTTTTTTGTCTAATTCAAAACTTAAAATTTGACTCATTAAATTCATTTATATGAAATTATTGAATGCAACTTAAGTTCATAGCAAAAAAATTATTATAAACATGGTAAAAAATACATATAAATAAGTTTTAAAAAGAAACAATAAATTCAAAAATAATCTCAAATTATTTTCTAGTTACTCATGAGATATATTCCTCATACAATTTTTACTGTGTTTATAGTTCTTTTAAATTTAAATGTCAATAATTTCATAATTTTTATATCGATGAATCAGATATTACAGGTTTCATATTTTGAATTAGTAAAAAGTTGATTTAAAATCATGTTACAAAATTGAAAATAACCATTGTTTTTAAAAAAGAGCAATTCGATCTTAAATATAAAAGATAAAGAAAAAAAATGATTTAGCCCTTTTAATATTATATAATATATTAAGTAATAAATTAGATTATATTCTATATCTTGTGAGATAAACTAATAATACGAGACTAAATAATAATCAACCTAATGGCCGGCAATGCCACTTAGAGAAAAGCTGCATAAATCTATAATTTTAAGAACAAATGATTAAAAAATAATCAATACATAACATATAATAGGATGTGAAACTAACCTCCACAGTATCAATTGCTTCATTTGGTGGAATGGCATGCAAAACTCTGAGACACAATAGTGGATTAACATATTATATCATGACAATTGCATGTAAAACTCATCCATCATATTAATATCATGACATAATTAACAAAATCATTCATGACACAAGGGTGTTGAAATTCGACATGAAAAATAGAACTAACAATGTTAAATCATAACGAGGGAAAACAAAAAAGCATAGAATGATGGGCACTGCTAACTGTACAGTTCTTGTGGAGAAAAATTAAGGAAAAATGGGACATGTCAAACAGGATGAAGGAAAGAAGAAATACATTAAAATTATAAATAAATAAATAAATAAATAACAAGAAAATTTACAATGATGTTGAAGTAAAAAATTGAGGTCATTAAATGAGATTATGTTTTCATGCCAATATCAAACATTATAACAGACAAAATTTATTGATCTACTTAATATATCACCAATATCACACTAACAACAAGGATGCGGTGATTTCAGTTTTTTTTGGTCTTTTGGGGACAAAGAAGTTTGGAGGGAGGGGAGGTTTTTCAAGGTCAGGGCTACAGGTGTGGATGAACTACGAATGAATAAGCACTATTAAGAATTAAACACAAGATTTTTATTATTGTTGTTTGATCCCATTAATAGAGCCTATTCTCATTGCCTAGGGTTTTTTTTTTGGGGGTTTATATGAAACAATACACCAATTACCATTGCAAATATCAGTATCACAGCCATTTAGCTTGTTATCAGGTAGGTTAATATGATAAGGTGGTCAAAATTAGGAGTGTTCAAATTGCTAAATTGAACTAAACTAAAAGAAAACTAAACTAAACTATAATAAATAGTTCATCAAACTAAATTGAACTAAAATAAATATTGACTAAATTAAACTAAACTATTATCTACTTTAGTGCACTATAGTTCTAGGAGTTTGAACTAAACTATAATATCAACTAAATAAAACTATTATTAACTATAAACTAAATTGAACTACATTAAAAAAAATAAATTTAAAATCAACATTTTTAAATTGAGCTACCAAATCATTGATATTAATTATGAATTAATACTACTATAATTTTTTTATTACATGCAATTTTTCCTACGAATTTTTCATAAAAATTTGCAAGAAACGTTGTTCCTACAAATTTTTTTGCAAAATTTTATCTACAGGTAATAACTTCGTAGATAATATGTTTTTGCGAATTTTAAAATTTGTAAGAAATTTTTCAGCGAAATTTCTTGCAAAAAAAATTGCAGGAAGGTTTCCTGCAAAAAAAAAATCGCAGAAAAGTTTCTTGCAAAAAAAATTCAAAAGAAAGTTTCCTGCAAATTTTTTTGCAAGAAATTCTGCAAGATTATTTTTTACGAAAAAAATTAAAGAAATTACTAATGATCACAACGAATTTATCCAAAGCATTTGTTTTCACGCTCCAACATGTGATATATAATCTTTTAAATTCTAAGATTGTAGATTATAAACCTAACACTCAACCATACAAATCAACTTATAAGGTAAGTATTGCCCCAACTTATATATTTTTTAATTGTTTTATTTTCAATTGATATGAGACTTGAAGTTTTTTTAAAATATTAAACTTATAAATTTAAATATTTTTTTAATTTTTCTTATAGATTAAAATTAACAGGAAAATCCGCAGGAAAAGTTACCTGTAAAATTTTTCTACCATTTAGTAAACATTACTTGCAAATTTATTTTTGCAAGAAAATTTGTAAGAAACAAAATAAAATTCTTACAATATGTTCTGTAAATTTTGACCATGGAAAATTTTTTCTATGATCATTAAAATTGTAGCAAAATTTGAAAAAATTTATTGTAAATTATTTTTCATAAAAAGATTTATAGGAAATATCTGTAAATTATTTTTATTAAAATAATAATATTTTTTAGCATCAAAAATAAAATTATTTAAATAATAAAGAGATAAGTTTGTACATATATATATAATATTTTTTTTAATTTTTATAATATTTATATTAAAAATATTGAAAGAGTAATAATCACGAAAGATATATAAATTTTTATTCAATTAATAAATAAAAATTATATTTTAATGCTATAAATTAATTATTTATTTAGAACTATAGTTCACTAAACTACTTTTTATAATAGTTTAGTTTTTAAAACTAAAACTTAAAATATAGTTTAGTTTAGTTTTTATAAAAATTAGTTTAGTTTTTTATAGTCTAGTTTAGTTTAGTTTTCCTAATAGTTTAGTTTAATATAGTTCTTTGAACACCCCTAGTCAAAATAGAAACTAACCTTTCTTCTACTGCTGCAACCAAACCATTTGTCAAAGCCACACCGCCAATCTATTCACGATAAGTGTGTCAGTTCCTTCCAATCAACATGTAACACCAAGGAAATTATACACTGATCTCAACTTGTGTAAAACTAACCAATTGTATGCTACAAAATAGTTTTCTCTGGATGTCTATGCGACCTGTTAAAACAGAACCGAGCAGTTAAACAAGGCTTCAAATTTATGCATTAAAAATGGAAAGCAAAAAAAAGACAAAATATTACCAGTTGAGAGAATGCAGTTAGTAATAGCCTCTGCAAGGCCAACTTTTTCTTCTTTTTTAGGCTTAGTTGAAAAAACTGGATAGCTTTCCCACATTGGTAATCCTCCATTAACATTGGGATAGAAAGTATCTGACATATCAGACCTCCGGGAAAAGTCAATGTGCCATGTATCTTCAAGCATATCCTCATAGTCATGAAACCTAGCAATGGAAACCACAAGGATTGTGTAAATATATAAATTTTCACAAACATGCTCACAGAACAGAGAGAATTTCATGAATCCACTAACCAAGTACGAGGAGGAGGAGGATACACATCGGGAACTAAAAGTGTTGGATAGAACAATCCCATAGGAGGAACCTATGCAATAATCAACATCACTTTCCAATGATAGCACTGTTCAAAGGAAAAATGGGAGGGAAAATGAAGAAAAATTCAACAGAGGATACATACATTAAGAGCAGTAAGCCTTGTCTTGTGAGATCCAGGTGACACTTTGTCCTCATACGAATGAACTAATGCAACGGCATCAAGTTCCCCATCCTACACACAGGATACTAGATTATTAAAAAATGAATCCAAGTTTGGAAGCAAGTAAAAACTTAAGAGAAGCGGCAGTACTGGCTGTATGTGATGAGATGCATATTAGAAAGATATCAGACACGTTCAATATGTTGGTTTATTTGTACATTAAAGGGAAGGCAAACTCATTTGTGTTGGCCATATGTCTTGATAGCCATACAGCATCCACCAATCTTCAGACTGCCAATCACTTTAATGTTTAGGCAGACTCACTTTACAATCATGTATAACTGATATATACTAACAATATCATGAGACACTTCCTACAATTTCAGCACTCAAATGTAACCTTGGTATCCCCCAACAATACCAATATAAAGCAATAAATATTTTTAATAATAAGCGACTCTCAGGATTTCATCAACATCAGGCACCCATTTTTACAAGATATGTTTTGGGGTGAAATGCAACCTGCAATGCCACATGTCATACATACAAGACATAGTCTTCTTTTTTTTTTTATAATTTTTTTCTTATGCCTGTTATTTGGAAACCGATAAACACATCTACAGGGGCACAATTGTTCTGCAACTTATCTACAAATTAAAAATCCTGTTTGCACTAAATAATGACCTTGAGCTCTAAATTACTCAGGGAGATGTCTGCAAATTCAGTAACAGGATGCAAGCAAAATAAAGTTGTGTTTCCACAAAACAAGATGAAGTAGTAGAACTCACCTTGATTTCACAATATGTCTCTTTAAGTTGATTTAACATTAACAGATCTATGGGCTTTGTCAAAACATCTGTACGAATTTGTGGCCAAGTCTGGTGATGTCTTTGGGTCCAGAGAAGGCCCCTTGATATATCCTGAAAGTATGAAGTTATTTTTTAAAATAATGACCTCAAAATACTACCACAAGATATACAAAATTTGGAACATAGAAAATATGGGCGGCTACATAACTCAGAATTAAAACAAAAAGTAGGTACATCAAGCATGTCAGTAAGTGCATCTTTTTTGAGTTTTGAACTATTTTAAAACATCAGTAATGGGTAGAAGTATGAAACAATTTTGTACCTCACCACCAAAAGGTAAAGTCTTTCCAGTTGAAGGTAGAGCACCACCGTCCTGAACAAGAAAAGAATTTATTAATATGAAACAGAAGCTCAGCACCAATTGTATTTCTCACATTTAATAATATGAAACAGTTCGATTCTCTCTGCTACATTTCTAATAAGCATGGAGCTGTTGATCCTTAGTCAACCCCAGTCTGTAGTGTTTGGCCTAACATTTTTTGGGCTTCTCTTTTTCATAAAGGAAATTGGGCTAAGCACAATTTTACAAAAACTCTTAGAAATAAAGCACCCTTTTTTTAATGAACAAAATCCCAAAAATAGAGCATCTATAAAAGCTACCTGGAGGAGTTTCTACTTTTCAAAAGAAGGAAAGCCTAGACAAGTGGGGCAAAACACTACTTTAGTGAGAAAAGGCTCGGTTATTGTCACATCACATTCGTCAAGACATGAAATCCACATACTGATTGGTTTTAACTTAATTTGTCACTATTTGTGGGATTTTAGAAAATTTAAGGACATCTTTCAAAAATTGAAGAATATCAGAAAAGTAAATGTTATTTTCCTTACTAATGATGGTACAACAATGGGATATATACACCTAGTAAATAAAGGCACACTTCTTTTTACCAAAAAAAAAAAAAAAAAAAAACTAAGGTAATTCATATGAAGCAATAATTCTAACTATATCCCAACATAAGAGTTCCAACACAATTTAATGCAGTTTGTTACTTCCAACGCAAACTACTTGCTAGGATACATTTTCTGCTGTCACTAATCTACTACCCGTTGGTGCTGGATGGACATACAGCGACATGTTGATTTCCATACAGCGCTATCATTAATCTACTTCCAAATTATCTGCTGTTGGGAGAAGTGGATCATAGAACTATCAATCCATCAAGACAAATTCTAGATTCATGCTTGGGCAAATGTTCATTGAATTATTCCATCTTCCAAGTTATCACGATAGAAAACTCCAAAATAAGTTCCAAAGCAGATTTTTTTAATAATAATAATAATTAATAAATAAATGTGTAAGTTTCATTTACCTCAATGCATATAAGTGATGTCACCTGAGCACCAATATTCACAACACATGCTGTTGATAATCCATTTCCAAAAACTGCAGCAAGACCTTCCTGGTCAAATAATTCCATATGAAATCTTTAGAAGCTAACCGAGAAATCCTGATAAATAGGTCCCTTCTATGTATAAAAAGCTTATTTGATTAAATGCTGTAGTTTTTTTATCTCCACCACCCCCATCAGGATCATGATCCCTGATGTAGATTAAAGATATAGGGACCTTTAGAGCACAAAGGATTTGTAAAGCAAGAGCAAAATGTTTGAGGACTGGGGAAATCTGGATAAAGTTTGCTGCAACACCTTCCAACAGTAAGACTCGGTTTCTTTTGGAAAATATTAACATAAAATATGACCATGAAATCATCCAAATTAAGGGCAAGAACTGCTTTGCCTATCACAAATTAGTTTAGTTCCCTCGATTTTCATTACCAGCATACTTAATTCCAATCTTGAGGGATTGAACCCACATGCTAATTATACCAATATCCATCCATAGTAATCAAGGTGGTTTGGTATAAACTCCAGAAGTAATGTTCAAAAACAACTATAACCATGATGATGATGTTATCACAGAATAATAGTCATTTGTACCTGCACTCATCACATAAACTTACAACAGCAAAAGAGAAGGCTGTACCTGGTGTACCACTGCTGAGCCAAAGCAGAGTTCTTGCAGTACTAGAGATAGAATTTCCTTTATTTCTGCTTGTGGCAAGAACAAAAACATAAAATGACTACATCAAGAGTGGGAAAATAATCCTAAAAGAACATGCTAGGAATGTGCAGCAGAAATGAAATAAGATATTAAAAGAACAACATCCTTCATAGAAACATTCTACAGTTTAAATGAACTATTTTCCAAATACCACGATTGTCAAATGTTTCTGGCATCACAAGAACAGCAGAATACATATTTCTTTCATTGCGTGGTATGTGCAGTTTCTCTATTAAAATCCAGTCCCAAATAGTACGTAGGTCATCCAGTACCTGCAAAATAGGCAAGTGGTAATGAGAGCTAGAAATAATGTCAAAGACACTCAAAATTCTCACTATTTGATCACAGTAAGTACCTAAATCTCCAAGACATGGTTTATGTTAAGATATCCTACATTAGCTAGAAATGTAGCCAAACTCCTTATAAGTCTTGAGCAACCCCTTTCCCTTGAGCTAGCTTTTGTAGTTAAGTTAAATCTAACCCATTTCTAATATAGTATTGAAGTCTGTCTAGTCTAGCAAACTTCACACTCCAAATATTCAATCTTGGGCATGAGGGGGATGTGTTGAGATGTTCCACATCAGCTAGCAATATGCCATAATACTATGTAACTATAAGGCTTGGGCAATTCTTTCCCTTTGAACTAACTTTTAAGGTAGAGTTATTAGAAATTTAGACTCATTTCTAATTTTATATAAGCAACTCAAAGGACCCTAAATTACTATGATAAGCAACCCAAACTTTAGACTCAAGTTATCCCGATCTAGAAATAAAAATAGATATAATCCAAGAGAGATTAGATATCCAATGACTAAAGACAACTAAACCTTTATTTTCCAAATTATTGACAACAAATCTCTAAATCACCAATACAAATGTAACTCCCAATTCACAGTTACATCATAATTAATACAATTTATTAATTAAGAATTATACATATCTTCCCCCATTCTGCATTATTCTCCATTCTGAAGAAAACTCGGTTCATTTTTTTTAAAATGCGAACTAACCTAAAAAAGCAACAGGCAACAATAAAGAAGCCCATAGGTGATGCTGTGATGAAGGTAGAAGCAAAAGCAACAACAAATCGGGAATGCTATAGGAATCTTAAAGTCAACAGGAAAGTTGAATGCTCCAAAGGTGGCACATCAGTTTGTTGATTTTCTTAAAAAATTGGCAATATCTAAAACTGACATTGCTTCAACCAGAATTTCACTCTTAGAATCATACAATTTCAACATTTCACTCAGAAGCTTAAAGTAAAACGTCTGCTATAAATTTACAGGAGTAAGCAAGCAGGGTATGCATATTTTAAAAATTGAAGTATTCTTATGATGCATTCCTTAATACATAATTAAAGGTTGCCTATATGTTTTACCATTACATTAGATGCAACAATTAACTTTATGCCTATGGTACAAGACAGAATTCCAAAACTACATAACATGATTAACATCTGTAACAACGATTGTATTCTAGTTCGGAAGTCATAAAGTACCTGCTGCATGGAATAATGTTGTGAAATGTTCAAGTGTCCTCTGCGGATTGGACGACATAAATAATACGGTTCATTTGGGGATATTCTTAATGCTTCCTCACCACAAATGAACTCTTTGAATTTTCTTTCACTTGCATTAAGTTCCTTTGAATCTGTACCTTCTTTTGGATCCAAAGACTCACCAGTCTCATCTTTACTTGAAGTCTCTACATGAGCCAATTTGTATACAATTCACAACAAAGTGCTAATTAATATTAAAATAACACAACATTTATAACCAAAGCAAAATTAAATGCCATATACTTTTACACTAATCTACATGCTCATAATGGATCATAAAGAACCAAAATGCTAAGCCTGTTCTGTTTCTTCACTCAACAAATAGATTGAACTCAGATTAAGATTTAGAGATTTAGTACATCCCATTCATATTTATGCAGAATATATTCTTTTTCACAATCAGCAAAAGCCAGATGATCTATAGAACTAGCTGCAATACAGCCATTTCTTTAGTTTCTTTTTTCTGGGCAACGATAAGTTGAGAAAGATACAAGGGATTGTGTATCCTGTGTATTTCAAACAGTCTCAAGAGCCTGAACGTATGAAGGCAACATAACAAGTGAACATCACATTTATAAAAAAATGAATCTGACCAACAAGTTAAAATGTAAAGAGATTTTGCAGGTCATTAGCAACTTGTCTAGCTGTATTCTTTTTTTTATTAGACAAGGGCCCTAAGGCCAAAACACAAACAACTACCAACAAAAGCTAAATGGTGAGATATGTTGAACGAAAGAGTTAGGATACTGGTTTAGGCCTAAGCCCGACAGCTGGACTGAACACAAAATGAGTTACAATTGCCGATGTGGCTAGTTGGCTATGGGAGGCATGAGGAATCTTTTTTGTTAGAACCTTGAGAGGTTGGCAGGGAGAGAGACATCTCTTCTCTGAGGAGCATTAGCCCTAGGATTACAAGGATCATCTTCTGTAATAGTTCTATTTTTTTCAATCAATAAAATTGTCTTGTGTTTTTTATTAAATCTGGTTCCTATCAGAAAGTGGCAGAGATAAAAGCATTAATAACATTCTGTTGATTGTTGTCATAGCAATTCACTTATTAAATTATTCATGCTACCATCAACACTTCATTGCTCGTGAGACATAATTGTCTTAATTTGAACATTGCAACCTCTCAGCTCTCACTTCTAAACCTCAGTTCCAACCAAACAAGCAACAATAGAACTGAACAATGATAGAAAAAAGTGAAAATAAAAGACAATAACATGCTTCAATTTAATGCAACTAAAAAAATAAAAATTATCTTAAAGTGACTTTTCATATAATAATTGCAATACTTTTAAGATAGAGTAATGCATCAGCTCTAACATTACTTCGTTTAACATAATACTTATGAAAGGTATTTTCTAGCTGATATTAGGTACATGGTTAATAGAGCACAAGATGAAATACAAGGCCTTAGATAGCAATTGGACCCACAGAGGGCACATAGGCCCACGATCTGGAAAGTCTATACTAGGAGGAATAGAAGAGTTTGTGACTGAGTTGGCAAAGAGAGAAATAGGAATAAGGAAGGGAAGCATGTGTTAGGGGAGGTTATGGTTATTAGTAGGAGGGAGAGCCTAGTACTGCCGAGAGTTATTTTATTATGGGTAGAGAGCAGTAGCTTTCTATAGGTGTTGTGCTCTGTGGCAGAGGGATTCATTCTTTCTGTAAACTCTTGTCTCATCTAAGTAATAGAGTGGTTTTTTACTCTTTTTATCATTGTTTTATTGATTACATTTTGGTGTGGATTTGGGTTTGTATCAATGGCAAAACTAAGATGAATTAAATGATATGCTAATTGACATAAACATATCCAGAGCCACAAAGGCAAGGCAACCAAAGAGCTTAGGAAAGTACTAGGTAAATGCAAAGAGGTTAATTTCCTCTTACCTAATGATACAGATGAATTGGTGGCCTCCTCATAGACATTAGTCCAAGTGAAGGGTAAATCTTTCCTGATAATATGAGGATTAAGTCCATCAACACGTCCCATCTGCACATTAAGTACATTGAAATTTATAGCATTAATTAAGAAAAAATAGACTTGCACTTAAAATTTATTATCATATATTATTCCTAGAAAAAGATAATAACATTGTAACTATTTGATAGAATTTTCCAAATAGATTAATTTTGCCCGGTCCTGAGAGCAGGAAAGTGACTTTTCAGAAATCTTAGAATTCATCCTTGTTAACATGTTCAGAGAATCGATGAATAACCAGCTACAACAATAGCCCCCAAAACTTATCTACCACACTCTCACTACAAGCCTGTTATTTTGCTTCTTTTGTATTCTTTAATTCTCCAGTTTCACAGGCAAGATTGTATTAAATTTTCATTAAAAATAAATTCTATTAGAAGAAAACAACCATGGATAAGAAGAACTGTCTATGTGATACATGTGTACAAGGACATGCATTGAATATATCTTCAAATCATATATGTATGAGTAATGTATAATATAAAAAAGCTCAATCAACCATATAATCACTTTGTTTATTTATGTTAAGTTCAAAAACAGCAGTAACCTCCATAGAAATGTAAGAATGACCAAAAGGGTCAATAAAATTACAATGCTCTTTCCTTAATGAATAATATATTTGTCAGTCAGCATGTTTGTCTTCTGAAGTTCATCACTTATTTTCAGCTCAAAATCTATCAAATCAAGTACAATGGAATTGCCACAGATGTCACACAACTTGAAATCCAATGATTTGAAAGGGGAATATCAATCCCATGGTTAAACAGTTCCAGAGAAAGTCTGGACAGGTCCAAACATTATTTATTACAACGCAGACTACAGTAACACAAGAAACAAGAAAAGCAGATCATGCGAACAAACATGTTGAATTCATTCATTTGAATTGTAAATGAATAAACATTCCACATACCTTACGAGGGAAAGAGTTAC